TGCTGTTCCTCCAACTCAATGGAACATCCTTAAATGATTTTTTCTTTTAAATCAAGGAGTAAGAGCATGTCAGGGGCCAGGTGCCTTCTGAGTTCAATGGCTGATCCCCCAGAGATACCCACAGCTCCTCCAATGGCTCTGTCAGCCCTTTCCTTGGAGTCCTGGTGCTTATAGTGTGGCATGTCTGTCTGTCCATTTCCACAGAAATATAGGTATCAGAAGTGTATCAGCTTTGTGGCCAAGCAGTATCCAGCCTGGAGGAAACTTGACAAGGAGATTTAAAAATTCATGTTTGTATGTTTAATGAGAACCAGATACGCCTGTGCTAGAATCTCACTAAAGAAGAACTCCTTGGTTTCCCTTCATTCTAATGAGGCAGTTGGGGGATCTTACCATGGAACTGAGCATACAGCCAATGTAAGACCCTAGGGGAGTACCCACGTGTTTAATGAGAACCAGATACGCCTGTGCTAGAATCTCACTAAAGAAGAACTCCTTGGTTTCCCTTCATTCTAATGAGGCAATTGGGGGATCTTACCATGGAACTGAGCATACAGCCAATGTAAGACCCTAGGGGAGTACCCACAGGTGTGATGTTGGGGACACCAGGAAGGGGCTCCTTGCCTTGTATCCCCTCTTCCACTTACCAATTCTTAACATTTCTTTTATAGGGGGAAAAAAAGCTACAAACATAGTAAAGACTTACAAAGCCAAGAACCCAAAAGAGGTCAACAAAACTGGCACATTAACTCTGAAGTGAAAGTGACCAGTATTAACATGATTTCCTGAGAGTGAGTCTGGCCTGGGGGGGGGGCTGGGGGAGGAGAGGAAGAGACCAACCTTGAGACTGTGTTAACCTCAAGTGTGTGTGTTGGGGAGGGAGGGTGGTGAGAGGTGGGGGTGGGGGGAGTGGAGTGAGGGCAGGAGAAAGGGGAAAGAGAGGGTCTGGGGAGTCGTGAGTGGACCAGGCGTGAGAAGACCCAAGATCTACTCTCCAGGGCCCAGGAAAGGGCTGCTAACCTTGAGCAAGTTGCTTAATCTTCCTAAGGCTGCTTTATCATCTGTAGAATGGAAATAACCTGTTTTTTAAAATCTTCAGATTTGTCTTGAGGATCAAATCAGAAAAGATGTGTGAAAGTAATTTTAAAACTCTGTAGTTCAATGTGATGTTAGGCATTCATGTGACATCACGAAGGGAAAGGATGGGAAGTTGGGCATGGAGGTGAACTCTGCTGACTCCGTAGTCACGCCCGGGCACAGGCCTGGGGGATGCTACCCCTGATAATCCATAGGTGGAAAAGGAGTTTCTCTTAACCTGAGACATCGTCCTTGAGATTAAGTTCAGCTGTAGCTAAATAACAAGAATCAAACAAGAACCAGTCACCCCTTCCAAATCAAGGGTCATATGCACCTAAGAATCGGCCCTGGGAGAACTCTGAAGAGCCCCAAGTGACCCTTCCTGTTTCTGGGTGTGTAAACTCTACTCCCTCAATTCGAGGGGTGGAGATGTCATGACAAGATGTGCTAACTTTCCTCCTTCCAGTCCCAAATATTCCATAGGAATCAAAGACTCTGACAACACCACCCATGCTGACTTTATAGGTGCATATGCTAAAGCCCAATGCAGTTATTTGGCAAATCCCGGCAAGCACCTCTGTTCCTTTTGGCTTACTGTTTGTATTGCTTTAGCAACAACCCACTTGCATCTTTTGATCAACTCAAAGCTAATTAAAAACGTAAAAAGAGAACTGAATGTAAAGGTGGTGAGCATAATGGAACAGGTGCCTGATGATGAAATGCAATTTCTGGTGATGCTGAAAGGTCTCTAAATTCGATAATCATAACCCGCGATAGTTCCAGGAACAACTCTGCCCGTTGCTTCCCTAGGAGAACCTAGTGTGCTAAAATACAGCGTCCTTGGTAAATTAAACCATTATATGCCAAGGGCAGGAAAGACAGACATACGGTGGTCCAACTAAGACGATGGCCATGAGCATGGAGAGAAACAGATGGATCTCAGAGATGCTTCGGAGGAAGAATGGGCAGTGTTGGTGATTAGAGTGAGGGCCGAGGGTGAGGGAGCAATGAGACTGTGCACACAAGCATGACACTTAGGTCTTCACAATTTTCGTCCCTACCCCTCTGTCCTAAATAAGCTCTGAGGAATTCCAGCTTTTGGAAACTGGATAGAGTTCAGGCCCATCTTACTAAATCCTGGTTTACGGGCTGCTAATTTGGAAAGAACGATCGATCTTATGCCAGCAGGACAAGCACATGCAAGCAACCGAGTGAATCCTTCATAGCAGGCAGGGGTGGGCAGTGTCGGGATGGGGGCTCCACTGGTTGATTGTGGCCGGGAAGGAAACCTCAGCTGGGTGGAGGAGGGGAAGAGGACGGTGAGGAGAAATGTCACTACACCTGATATGCTCCAAACAGGGCTGGCATTCACAGAGGAGACTTGGGAGCATGCCAGGCTGCTGAGAAATCAGTATGTGCTCCCTCCAAAGGAGCTCAAAACTGAGTTTAGAATCGCCCAGTACTGTGGTCTCAGACACTAACGAGAAATCCTGGCTCTGGCCACTCCTGGAACTATGAGGAAGACCGCTGGTGCTCCTGGATGCAGGTGCGGTGAGTTCCCCACCACACCGAGTGTTTGTACAGCCAGCTCAGCTCTTCCATGGTCCTCATCTGCCCCGAAGGGTGGGGCTCAGGCCAGGTCCCACCTCTCCCCACTGCTCTGCACATCCCCTTCCCCTATATCCTAAACATCACTTGAATCTGCTCAGCGAGGCCCTCCTTCTAGTTTACATCGTCTCTCAGATAAACTGTTAGCATCCTCTCCTAACTGAGCTCCAGGATCCCAAATTCCAAATTATGAGCAAAACAAAAGACTCTTTCTGTTGCAAGGAAAGGCTCTTGGAAGTGTCTGTGCAGATCCCTCAGCTCAACTGGAGGCAGAGAGGAGGACGGAGGAGAGACACCGCAGGCAAGGACAGCATACCTGTCAAAGGAGGGCCGCTCCCCAGCATCAAAAGCATCTCTCAGCTGCTTCACCAAGTTGTCCTGGCCAGGCAGCCGGAAGATGCCCTCTTCATTCAGGCCATGCTCGAGGATGAACTCTGCACACTTCTCCACCAGGATGGGCACTGGATGGGGGCCGAATTTCTGTTCATAGGCCACAGTCTCATCCAAACGCTGGCCAAACACCGCTGGGAAGAGAAACAACAGGACCTGCCCGTCATTCTGACCTTCTTGAATGAACTGATGGGTCAAAGTGCTTTGCCTATTTCTTGACTTTCAGAATCATCTGTGACTTCAAAGGTTTTAGTGCAATGATACTAAACAAAATCACACATACTGTTTCCCGCAGTTGTAAATTTGGGGCAAAATTTCTGTTCATAGGCCACAGTCTCATCCAAACGCTGGCCAAACACCGCTGGGAAGAGAAACAACAGGACCTGCCCATCATTCTGACCTTCTTGAATGAACTGATGGGTCAAAGTGCTTTGCCTGTTTCTTGATTTTCAGTATCGTCTTTGACTTCAAAGGTCTTAGTGCAATGATACTAAACAAAATCACACATACTGTTTCCCGCAGTTGTAAATTTGGGGCAGTCTCTATCAGTCTTTTTTCTATTGACTCATTTTTACATATTTAAAATAACAGCTGGCTTTTACTGAGTACTTGTTATGTGCTAAGAATTGTGCCAAGCACTTTGCGCACTTTTCTCATTTAATCTTGACAGCAACCCCATGAGGCGGTAGTCATGTTACACCCACCTTACCGTTAAGGACACTGTGCCTTAGAGGTGCTAATGAACTTGCCAAGGTCAGGTAGCTTAGGGCATGGCACAGTTGGAATTCAAGCCCAGGCAGTTAACTTCTGGGAATGTGCACTTACCCACAGCAGCAAGCAGGCCATTTGAGTTCTGCTTGTACCATTTATTATTTAAAGCATAACAGTTATCACTTGGAAATCTCATACTGTATTAAACCATTGAGGCATTTAAAATAATTTAGGTTGTTTATTATGTTCTACTATTATAAACATTGCCACAGTGAACATGTTCATTCTTCTAGCAGAGTTCCTGGAATGTACGTAGTACAATGCATAATTCCTAATTAATTGCTTTCTTAATTAATTAACATTTGGATGGATGAACACAGACGTTTCATTCTTTTGAACTATTTCCTCAGGGCAAATTCCCACATGTAGAATTACTGGGTCAAGTGGTTTGAACATTTTTATGACTTGAAGGTATCCAAATTGCTTTCCAAAAATATGTTTCCAAATTACACTGCCTCCAGCAAAGCAAGTGTGGACCAGCTCCACCCCAGCCCTGCCAGCACTTGGCTCTATAATTTCCCCATCCCTGCAGTGTGACAAGATTAGTTTATAAGTTGGGACAGTCATTGCTCACCCATTCTCCTACCAGGACCCGGTGGCCTTCGTGTCCTGGAGGTTTAGAAGACAGGCTATGGCTTCATTTCTGTCCTGCCTGATTTTCCCTCTGTCATGATTAGGGCTTGGCAGCACCCAGCACTTCAATCCCAAGGACACTGGTGCACAAAGTCCCTTGGTTTTCCCCATGATTCTTTTTCTCGCTGGTTGGTCCCTATGTCCAGTCTCTAATTAATGTGGATTCCACCTGCGAAGAGCTGTGCCAGGCTCTTGCATCCACTCTGTCCTCTCACCTCCCACCCGCTGCTCAGGCCAGGCTGGTCTCCTGTCTCACCGGTAACTGCTGCAGTTTCTCCTCTCTGGCACGTTTGAAACCCTCCTGCTGTTTACTTTTCTAAACCACTGGTCTACCTGGTCTTCCCTAGTTTTCAATAGTCATCTGCTTCTTCCCAACTGCCACAGCAGTGTTTTTCCAATTGCCCCCCAAAGTGCTGGGAGTTCCCCAGGGCCCTGTTAGTCATTATGGCAGGTGCTGGAGGTGAGGGTGCAGGACCTTGGAGGAGCTAAGTAGGTGGGCCCCTGTACTCCCTTGTCCCAGCCAGATCTGCCTCACTGTGGTCTGCTTTCCTTGTTACACTTCAGTGAGATTTTGATTAAATATTTCCGTGGCTAAAGTTTGAAAATTGGGGCTGGAATCCAGGCTGGAACCCACTTACCTTTCTGGCCTGACTTCCTGTCATGCCCCCAAAGGCACCTCACACTGAAGTTCCCAAAACACAGGGCTCTCCAGTCTTCATGTCCACGGACAGTCTCTGCTCCCTCCCCAGGCTGTTCTCTCCCTTGGACCCCCTCAAATATCCACATCACTGCTATGTCTGAACCCCAGATGGACAGACTACAACCCTGCTCTGTGTGCCTGTATCCCTTCTCGAATATCCATGTTCCTTACCACACTGTGCTATAATGATTTGCACATGCCTGTGCCCTCTGCATGACTGTAAGCCCCCTGATACCAGGAATATGTGGAGGGTCTCTTTTCACCCCCAATGTTTAGCATAACGTCTGGCACAATGTAGATAGCCAACAAATTTTGCTGAATTATTTAATAAATTGTCTTTAAGCAAGTATTTTTCATGACTAGTGGTTACATTGGCATTTCTTTAGTTTAAACCGTAATAGGGATCTCTTAGGTAAATGTTCACACTAACATTATCAAGTGCCCTGCCATGTGCCAGTGGCAGGCCCCAAGGGCTACACTACAGAGGACATGTAAGACCTGGTTCTTGCTTTCAATTTGCTTACCATTGAGTTATGAAAGTAAAAGGACCACGCAAAAATGTGGTCCATTAGAAACCATTAGAAAATGTTTATAATCATATAGAATTAGGTTTCTATTTGTCAGTAAAAGAAGCTGGATAGATATTTTGGCCAAATTGGTAGGATGTGATTGAAATGATCTGATTTAAAACATAGACCACATGGCATTTGGAAAATTCCCTTTGAGGGGTCCAGTGAGGGGCCCCTCAAAGGGAGAGACTGATATCTTTTCAGAGAGTTGAAACTTGGGCTCTGTGGGTCCCCCAGATCCTGATGGGGAAAGGTAGCTGAAACCCAACGTAAGGGCGTGTGCAGAGAAGTCGGAGCTTTCAAATGTGAGCTGCATGTCTGAGGTCCTGAGGCAGACAGTCCACCTCGTGGCTGGCTTGGAACCAAGCTCCTGATCACACCACTCGGCATGGGTAATCGTCTAACTTTTCTCCTCATCCGAGTCTATCTGCCTTGCTCTGCATCCATCCTCTATTCCTTCCAAGTCCCATGTTCAGCCAGTTCCATGTCACTCATCAGAACTTTCATTTCCCAACACTCTCGTTCCCTGCAACATCCCCACCCATCGGTTCCCACCACCCTCTCCACACCTTCCTCAGGTCACTGAGAGCTACGAGGGAACATGACATGACCATATCGTGGAAATTTATCATTCCTTCTCCACAACACCTTGGTTCCAAATCTTCACCACTCTCCTCGAGTTCCACACTCATCCCCTCCCCTCTCTGTCTCAACAGATGACCTGGTCTCCTCTTTCCCTTGTGTCCTAAAATGGAGAGATGAGTGGATTCCCTCACGGCTACTCCCTGTCTCTCCCATCCTCCCTCCTCTGTCTGTGTCTCTGTCCTCTTCCAGAGGGAGAAAAGGGCCCTGCTTTCCTCTAGGAAGATGCTTTCCTGAACTGTGGGGTCCATTCCTCCTACCTCTTCCAGGACTTTCTCTTTGTATCTTAAAATTTTCTCTTTTGATGAAAAGGTCCCCTGTGAGTGTCGGTCATTGCCAATTTGTGAAAGGATAATCTTTCAGCCCAGCTCTCATGAAAACGACCAGTGCTTTCCTTTCTTCTCTTTACTGATATGCTCATAGAAAAATGTGTCTGCTTCGAGAGAGTTGTCCGCGCCACAGCCCCCAGCTCTTTACTTATCACTCCCTTCTTGGCTGCTTAGCTCACTGCAATCTGGTTTCATAGCCTGCGTCTCTCCACTGAATCTGCTCATTAAGCTTTCCGGTCCCCTCCTAATGAACGAAGTCAGCCCATGTGGACCACACCCTACTGGTCTTCCCTAAAGACTCTGATGGTGTTGATTCTCCTTCCTCTTCAAGACTTTCTCCCTACGTGGCTACAAAACCATCTGTTCTCACTCTATTCCCATCTCCCTGATGACTCCTTTCAGTCTCCTTTACTGTGCCCTGTCCTCCATCTGCTCCTTTGTTGTGTTAGTTTCTGGGATTCCAACTCAGAACTGTTGCCTTCTGACTCTAGCCGTTCTCTTTGGAAAGTTCACACAATTCCACACATTTGGATATCACCTATAAACTGATAACTTATAAATTTGCATATCTTATCCAGATCTATACCTCTGTGTGTACATCTCTATCTGAACCATTTCTCTGTCCATCATTTCTGCCTCCACCTCCCGCTCTATTCCCAGAAGTCTAATGTTTAATAGCAATTCTCTCATTGTCTCCTTCAATTTCACTCTCATCTCACCCCCAGATCACAGATTCTCCTGTATCCTTCCTTGCAGGTAATAGCATTCAGTCAATCAGTGGAGCACCACGTACTCTCCTAGGCAGTGCAAACACAAAGCCACTAATACAAAGTACCTGCGCTCAACTAACCCAGTTAGCAAAATTGTAAGCATTAAAATTATCCACAACACTCTTTTCTCTCTTTAGAATGTAGATCAGTACATTCTAAATACGCTTTAAATGAGCTCTCTATTCCCACTGCTACTGTCTTTATTATTGTAATGATTTCTGTTGTGACTCTGCTTCCAAGTAGATCAGTACATTCTAAATACGCTTTAAATCAGCTCTCTATTCCCACTGCTACTGTCTTTATTATTGTAATGATTTCTGTTGTGACTCTGCTTTTTGAAAATTCCTTTCATCAGAATTCACAAAATCATTCAGCAAATGTAGGCTGAGCATCTGCTGTGGGCCAGGCTCTTTGGTAGCTGACATTATAATACAAAGAATGAAAAATGGCTTGTGCTCTTAACAACCCTCAAGCTAATGCCCTTCCTCCTATTCTCCACCTGGAAACCCAGTCTTCCTGAGATCAGATATCTTCTCAGAGGGAACTGACCACTCTCTCCTCTATGCCCATTGAGCTCCCTATGTGTACCTCTATTTTATCATGTCTTATGTAATTTTATGATGATTTATTTAAACATCTCTTTCTCCCACTGGACTGTGGGCTCCTCAGAGGCAGACAGACCGTCTGGCTCCCCATCTATTTTTA